CTCTTTCTCTGCTGCTTCCTTCTCTTCCTTTTTTACTTTCCTCATAGCAGTCTTAGTAATTTAATTAAGAAAAATAATAAGTGTAAATTTTCAATTACTGAATATTTTAAAGTGTTAAAGCTCATTGAATAATGAACCACATTCAGTCTAAAAATTAGCTAATTAAATGTTGCTTAGTAAGGATGTTTAATGAAATGATGAGGTTATTGAACAGTAACATACAATTGATTTTATAAAGATTGCTGAAGTCCTCAAGAGGGTTCTTGATATTTTAATTATTTTAATAAGTTGAATTTACAAATTTAAGTATTTTTATGAATTCTTTCTGTGCTTATTTCCAATGAATGTAACCCAACTTTGACAGGCGTTTTAAAATTGAGTTAGACTTTAGAAGTTGTATGTGAGCGCACACCTCCACTAGCTGCAGAAGTGTATTTTCCTGCTCAGACTTAAGTAGCAGTTCATTTTCTTCTCCTTTGAAGTTATCACGATAATGTCTTCTGTTGTAAGGGACTCTCAGACTCTGAAGAACACCTATTTTGTTTTCTAACAGTCGGAACTGCAGACTCTGGAAGCCTGACGCTGGATATAAGTATTCTCTAGAATAAAGAAGAGAAGGCAGAAAAGAGAAGAGAAAGGAAGAGATGGGCCGATATTGTAAATGACTGCAATGGTCTCCTCTGTTGTAAGGGGTTGTCAGTTTTACTCTCCCAGATATTGAGAACAGATACGCACCAATGCCTTGACATAGACCTATGATTTGACCCTCACCGAAATCAGGAAAATGAGCTATTTAAACATCATTGTTGCTCTTAATCAATTTGAAGTCAGAAAGTTTATATAGTTGTGAAATGTCATATATATTTTAATATATTAATATTATACATAATATATTTTATATATTATACAAATCTGCCATAATACATGTTGAACTAATAGCACTTATATATATGTATATGTTTGTGTATATAGATATACATATTATATATGTGTAACTGCATGTGTGTATGTGTACTGAATTTTTTCCTTGAAATAAAGACATTGGGCAATGTTTTTTTATTCTACAGTGCTAAAAGATTCTTCATAAATATTATTTAATCCCCCCGTTACTTACATTCTTGGATATTATTAATCTCACTATCTAGTATTATTATGAGCACCTGTGAAATAACACAAGTAAAACGAATAGGATGTTGTCTGTCACAAAATAGGCAAGCAAAAAAATGTTACCCACATATTACATCCTGGTAAATGTCCTTCATCTAATTGGTGCTAAGACTTTAACTTTTTAAATTCACCACAAAGGAATTCTACCACTTTTCCTTTGATTGTCAAACATATTCAAGCCATTGCCTATTACATCATATGATACACTGATAGAAGGTTCTTAGGAAAATTTCTTCTCAAATTTTGGTAATAAACATATATATATATGTATATGTGTACACACACAATATTTCCAGACAAAGTCAAATATATATATATATTATATTTAGAATGTATAGAAATTTAAAGCTAAAATTTATGGTTCAATTGATGCTGACACTTTTGACTGGCATGCTTCTTTATATATCCCGCTTGTTTCTTTTATTTTTAGTTTTTAATTTTTTAAAAATTAATTACATGTGGTTTATTAGCTATTCTAGCCATTTTGCTAAGTTGTCTAAAATCCATTTTGGAGAAAAACAGGGCACACAATGATGAATTAAAATTAATTGATCATATTATAGAACAATGAGTGATGAAATGTTTTTAATAACTTCTCGAATGCTTTCTGAAGACCCGCAAGTCCATATAGTGACAGTCATATTAGGACAGGCTCCTCATGTCACACAACACACACATTCTGCTTTTACTCTACTAGAATGAGAAGCCAAACCCCACTACGTTTTTTAAAATGTCACAAGTGCGCACCTGAAGTCATTGAAGTCCAAGGCTGTCATCGTGTCTAGAACGGAAAACTGCTGCACCAACAGTTTAAGGATCACTGTCACTCGGTGCATCCGACTAACCACCTTAAGCATATTCCTTTCGTCCCTGACCTAATGGTTAAGAAATAAAATACTGATTAATCAATTCTAATTTCTAGAAGTTACAAGGTAGACAAATAGCACTGCATTTCCATTAACTTTACCTGTATTTTAAAGACGAATATTGGAACTAAAATTTGCCATAACTGTATGTTGAACTAATAGCAATTCTGAATTGCGTGCAAGGAATGTCTGCAAAATCAGAACTATTTTTCTTTCTTTAAAAATAGAAAATTATGTGGAAGCAAGGTAGAAGCAAATTCCGGAATATAACCCCCAAAGATTTCAAAACAAATTTCCCTTTTAGTTTTGCTTAAGAGAAGAAAGGTCAAGGCAACATGGGAATTTCTGGGAGAGGATTGAGCAACACCTGGATACATTTGCTCTTTACTGGGGGCCAAAGTTGCCACTGACGTAATTGGGAAGTGTGTTCACATACATAAGAAGAGTCCTGTCTGTATGCATGTGCTCTCTTTCCCAACTCCTCTTCGAGCAGGGGCTTAGAGATGGAGGCAGAAGGTGGATCCTCAGGAGACATGGGGAGAGGAAGCAGGACGGTGGATGGAGAAGGGCAGGTGGAACTTCTGCCATCGCCTGAAGCTCTGTTCTCCCCTCCTGTCATTCTTTGCCTTCCTGTCCCTTGCCACCTTCCCCTGGTCCTCCTCATCTTCCTCTTTTTCTTCCTCCCTCTCCTCTTTCTCTGCTGCTTCCTTCTCTTCCTTTTTTACTTTCCTCATAGCTGATATTTATTAGAAATACAATTCTGGTACCTATTCATTAAAGGATCTCTATTAGTTAAGCTGGGAATCTACTATAATTTATAACATTTTTCTTTTGAGAGGAAAAATGAGTTCTACACAAAGGCCTTGAAACTGAAATTTGAAAGGAACCTTAAAGCCATGTGGAGTTTTGGGTTTAGTGATCACACTGGGAAAATATGACTGAACTCTTTGTCTACTCAGAAAATGTTTATTTGTTTTATTATTAACTAATAAGTCCACTATTTGCTGTTAAATTTTTTCTCATTAAAAATATTTTTATATTTTCCAAAAAATATATATGAAATATATACGAAAAATATATATGAAATAATATTGTGGTATAACGACTTACGTGGCCATTCTGAAAGATCTCTCGAACAGAATCCAATTCCCAGAGGATCTGCTTAAACCAGAGTTCATAAGCTGTAATAAGAAAAGCATTGTGAATTAAAAAGTTATGGGCACCTCTTTGTCCATCATTAGATGAAAGACATATTGAAAGAAAAATGAAAATATAACTCTAAAATCAATAAATTTAAAGAGGGTTCCCTCTTACGCTAGAAATAAATATTAGTGTTAAAGTTACAATAGCCTCCTCTAATTAAATGCTTTAATATGACAGGCACACTACCTATATGCTTGACATACATTATTTTTACATTGATTTCTCTCAACAAACATGCTGTTTAGTTCTTTTAGGGTATAGCACATAACCTGATTCGAACTTTCTGTATGAAAGTTGGAGGTATGTGGGGAAGCAGAAGTGATACCTAACTTTAACTATAAACTGAGAAATTAATCTGTGCTAACCTAAATGAAAGACTGTAGGGTTTCAAGATCTTGAAAATTTAAAGCTAAGTTACTTAAAATGCAGTGTTTTGATCGTTTGTTTTGTTTGTGATAAACCTAGAAACGCATGGGCTCAGGACAAATGGGAAAGTGGCCAGACGTTTGTGGTGGAATGAGAGTGGCGAAGTTTCATATTCATCTCACAGCCGATTCCCAGGGGCAACTTGATTCAGCATTGCTCAGTATACCTCCTTTCAGAATATCCATTTGAGTCCAAGGCTATTTGTTTATACCTGGTGGTATAAGCCACCAGTGAAAATGTAAACATAAAAACAAGAGAAGTAACACATTAAGCCAACTGTTTTTCATCTTAAATTTCTTTCCTCAAAGGAGTTTATTATTTTAGCCAATCAGTGAGGCAAGCACCCTTTTGAGGAAAGAAAACAGAGAATGGGTAGGGAAGAGAAACATGTCTCAGTGTGGGGCACTGAGCAGCGTGAGTTATGGGGCCCTCGTCATTCAGAGGACAGTATATGGCACTGACAACCTTACAGTGAACATTAATATTTTGGGGTCACAAGACTTATTTAAGATACATATTTATGAAAACTTGCACATAATTTCAGAGTTCAGAGACCTTCTAAACTTCTAAAGTCATGGACTCTCAAGCTAAAATCCACTTCCCAGAGGTTAGAAATCTGGAAAGGATAAATATACATTTTAGACAAAAAATTTCATTTTGGTTTAGTACCATATTTTATAGGATTATGTATATCCAAAATAAGTTCAAATGATGTTTTTCTTGAAAATAGTTTTTTAATGTTTCAAGTTAAGAAATAACATCTTAGTTTGCAAATTATTTGTGAAATTATGAGAGATGAAAAGTCACCTGGAGTTAAGGACAAAGCTGAAGTCCTGCTTGATCCAATTAGCAGCGAAGCAACATAAAGAAGACTGCCATCAATCTCTAGAGAGGTCCTATAAGAATTTATCCTGCAGCCAAACATTCTCAAGCATTTCTAACAGAGGTGATTCCCTAACCTTTTACCATTTCGTAGTTAAAATACTGTAACTTTCCTCATTACTGATGAGAAATGCCTGTGGCATATGTATGGGCCAATGCTTTATGCAACTTACCTTGATGAGTGATGATAAAAAGATGTTCATCATGGATTTTATTTCCTTTTATTTCACTTTGAAGTTCTTGTGCATTCAAAACTTTTTCCAACTTTAAATGAAAAATAAGGACACTAATTTGAAATTGCAGAACTTGGTTTTTTTTTTTTTTTATCAACTTTAATAGGAAATAGAATAAAATAATGGAACAGCTTTTCCCAAATCCTAACTTCTCAGAAACCAATCAATTTTCTCTTAAACAATGGATGAATCTCATCATAAGGAGTGCGTTGAATTTATGATTTTTATTCTTCTCAGGAAAATTCTATTTGGTAGGATTTTATCATAAAAAATGCTATTACACTCTTTGAGAAGTCATATCCTTTCCTATGAAATGAATATAATGAAATCTTGAAAACTTGCTGAGCTGACTGTGCATCTGCCGTTCTTTTATTCTCCTAAAGAACCAATTCTAAGAACATCTTAACATTCTTTATTGGTTCATCCTTAGAAACCCATCTATGGTGGCATCAAGGTCTCTAATTATTTTGTGTCTTAAAAAAAAAGAAAAGAAAAATAGGTTGAAACTTAACCTAATCTGCACATACCTCACTTATTAACATCCTTCTTTCACTTACTAATGATTTCAAGAAAATTTTCAGTGTTCCTTTAAAATTCTACTTTATAATAAGAGATGTAAAAGAGAAATTTTTTAAAGATACATTTGCAGTGATCTGGGCTGGGGTTTATTTATTGACCATGTCTTATTTATACAAGTTGTGCAACGCCTGCCAGCTCTCTACAAAGGACCTTATCATTTATACTTTCTGCCCAGATTCCAAATCTCTGCTTTTATTGTACCAGTACTGGAGAGCTGAATTTTCTCCCATGGGTCTCTTGAATTATTCCAACAAAAATTGGAAAAGTATAAATGTTTATAAGTGGTGATAGCCTTAGGTCTAGAAAACTATTGGTGACTGAGGGAAAAAATTCACAAAATCAAAAACATGAAAAAGTCACTTAGCAGAATCTAGTGCCTAACAATGGAAGCTAACCCTTTAAGGACAGTGCCACTTACTTGCAGATAGTTCCCGTAGATAAGTCCTCCTCTGCTGGCTCTATTCACACCAATTTGTGATTTGTCTTCTTCACTACCTTCTAGAAATAGCTTTTTAAAATTATATCTGCAGATTTAATAAATAAAAAGAAAAAAATACAGCTTTAGAAAACACAGTTAACTAATAATATGAGTGATTAAAATTCTCTTATTTCTAATTTTGTTTAGAGTAGATTATTAAACAAGGGAATAAAGGTAACAGTTTTCAATGCTCTTTAAATTCAGAAATTAAAAAGCTCATACTTGGTACTTCTAAGCGTCTAAACTCACTTAGGAAAGAGGTAAACACTCACCCAAAATTGTTTCCTAAGAATGGGCACCCACTCATGTTGAACGGCACTCTCGGAGAAGCACAGAGGTTTGACTCCAGACAGATGATATCATTGACCTTCCCAGATGTTCTACAGCTGCCTTTTATGTATCCTGCTTTCCCTGCTCCAGCCAATCAGTACTCTTGATGGACTCGGCTAGTTGCTCATTTCAATTGGTACAGAACTGAACCTCTATAAACTTTAGAGTAGATTTATGTCAGGTACGGTCCATTTGCTAAAAGAGTGAGTATTCTGCCAAATTGAATCATGTGATTTGCCAAGTTCTGTTTTTATATCCAAAGTAAATCAATAGAGACCAAGTTTGAAATGACATTTAACTATTTAATTCCAAGAAAACATTTGGCATAGTGTTAGGATATGTAAGATGATGAGCTTACAAAAACAAATATTTATTTTCTCAGATTTAGATATTTTTACAACTCTTAGGCCAAAAATTAAATTTTATTTTCTCTGGGGAATGAAATTTGCTGTATAACAGAGGCTGAGTACATGTTCGAAGCCCAGTTCCATCCATCATCAGAGTTCTTCTGGCTTATATACCATCTAATAATTAGCAGCAGTTAAGCACCCAACACATTGTGCTATAATTTAAATGGACATTATTTGTCCCTTGTTCAGCAGTGGTTTACAAATAACAGGGTAGTAGAAATCATTTACATTAGAGTGCATTGTCTATAAAGAATTTAAAAGCGATAACCGTGTGCCCATAATTCTAAACACTATCAGCAATAAAATATTCTTTCTAGAAATATTATTTATTGGTTCTAAACAATTGCTCTGAGAACTATTGAGACAGGACAGAAGTTCTATTTACTTACCCTTAGTACACCACTGCCACTCACTAAGAATTAAACATAGATACAGCATCTACCACTTATTTAACCATCTAAATGGTAAATTTTTTATTAATTTACTAAAGTAATTAAAAGTCAGAAACCTCATTTCTTGGCTCTACCAGTAATTGTGTAATATGGGAAAAATTGATTTAACTTTCGTATGTATCAATTTCCTCACCAAAAGAAATGAAAGTGTTTAAATTGATTATTATTTTGAAGATCTGGATCCACCCTAAAATCTTGATTTTATTACTGTATAATAAATTACAACATTAAGGAAGTGTTACAGAAGGATAGACAACATGAAAATGCCATGTTATAGGAGAACTGGGAAATCATCAAAACCACATTCTCTACCTGTAACATTTCCCTTGGGTTTTTACAGATGACCCTGGTAATCGCTCACACACTGGATAGGGACGTTATCCTGGGGAGGGGTGAGTCACTGTTCCTTTTCCTACTGTCCTGGTTTAGAGTGTTTAGAAACAGAGAATGCTCAGTCACCCCTTTTTCTTCACTTGGTTGCTCAATGAGATATGTTTACAAAGAATGGTGCTAAATACTTTATTCTACTCTCTTTAAGCCTGTTGATCTGAGAAGTGTTCTTCACTTATTGGCCAAAATACTAATGAAAGAAATAAGGAAAGTATTTTTCCCTATAAATTGAAAATAAACAGATATTTTAGAAACAAAAACATTTCCCTTTTTCTAAAATGTCGTTCCACATGGATCTCCTAGATAGTGTCAACTCATTGTGTGCTTTAGCAACACAAGAACTGATCATTCCAAGATTTGAATTTGATGCATCGGAGAAATAGTAAACTAATCTACAAATAACTTGTCTCCTTTACCCAGGAGAGTAACTACAATGGCAACTCAAACACATACATTCCCATTATTTTTTGCAATAGAAAGCATTATCAAATTTATGACTAATTACAATCTAGTCATCATCTTGCTAATACTTAAAATTTACCACTTGGAACCCAATTTGTTCATCCAGTGTTAACCTCATTTGGAATTTTATGCTGGAGGGAAGCCTGCTTGATAAGCATGCTTGGAAGATGCAAATTATAATCAATTCCAATTAAGAATATGAAAAATAAATTAAGAACATTATAACCAAAACCATTGTCTCTAGTTCTTTCCTTGTGAGTCCTAAGGTTAGGGTACAGAAAAGAGTGAACCTGTGAGGGTAGAGCAAAGAGAATTCGCAAGAACTTGTGGTGAGCTAAACTTTGAAAGTTTATAGGAATTTACAAAAATTATTCCTTCCGCCAACATAGTATTAGTTTCCACAAAGCACCTCATGTAATCTATTGCAAAATGTTACATTTTCTTCTTTCATCTGCCCCTCACAGATTAAAACTGCTGCAACACCCCTCTGTGCACCAACTCAATTGTCCAGTTTTCTTACACAACAATAATAGACTGTGGCAGACCTAGAAACACTGAACCAATAGGAGAAGTTCTCATAAATAAGTGCTCCAGCATCCTATTTTTAAGAGATGATTCTGAAAGGACTTCACGCCGCACAGCAATCTCCAGTTGTTCCCAGTGTTGACCTAAATAATGTATCCTTACTTTGGATTCTCTTTCTTTGTGACTTC